CTCGCCTGGCCCCTCGGCCCTTCCCGCGGCCCCCGCCAGGGGGCGCCGCGCACCGGCAAGCTGGGACCCGGCAGCCCTGCTGCGGGCCAACCCCGGGGGCTGGGCACCCGCGCAGAGGGGCGGCGCTCTGGGGGTACCCTGGGGAACGTCCTGCGCCCCTCTCCTTATCGCACGCTCACTGCATTAAAGGGGCTTTCTAGAGAGGGTCTTAGGCACTAGAGTATGTTTTGTCTTGATGTGGCAGATGCCAGACCCATTTGTAGCAGGGAGGTGAGGGGGTGCTGGGGTGCCCCCGCCCTGTCCTGTGACAGTTGTGCCTAACCCATTGCCACGTGAGACCCGGGAGCTGCCCTCCATCTGACTGAGTCCTCTCCTAGACTGCGGCTCTGCCTCCCCCATCCTTTCTCTCCCCAGCCCCTCTGGAGGTCACTGCAGCCTGCTCCCCACTCCCTCAGGACACTGGGGCAAGGTCAGTGCTTTCTCTGCACCTCCACGTGGAGGCGCCACCGATGGGCTGGCCAAACCCGCGGCCCCACCACTGGCACCCCTCCCTTGGGTGGCTCAGCCCAGGCACCTGTGCCCACCCGTGCGTCGGCCAGTCCTGCCGCCCGGCCAAGCAGGTGACATCATGCGCCTCACAGCCGCGCCGCCCAGTGGGCACTTAGTTCTCTCCCTGGTCTGGGGCTCCACCTGTGTGCTTCCCTCCCCTCCCCCAATTGACCCCAACGTCCCTCCCCCTGTTCTTGCTCCCCTTTGTTTCCTGCCTACCCTGAACACCTGGAACAATGTCTGGTCAACAGTCGCGTTGCACAAACATCTCCGGGAACATGAAACACATCACAGCCTGCCGGGCGCTGTCCCAAGGCCCACGGACTCGGCTCACGCAGCACAGACTCCTTTCTCCCGGGTCTCGGGGCTGCAGCTGGCGTGCCGGGCCAGAGTGGGGCGGGTGGGCTTCCTCTGGGCCCCCAGCCGCACCTGCTCCCAGCCTCCTTCCTCCCCCGAACCCCCAGGAGATGTGTCCACTTCCTCCTCCGAGGTCTCGAGGCAGGTGGGGGAACTGGCCCACCCAGATGATCTCATTTAACCCTAATCAGCACCTCAAAGGTCCTAATTTCCAAACACAGCTACACTGCGAAGTCCTGGGATAGGGATTTGCGGACCTGGAGGCCCTGGAGTCTCCGCAGCGATACATTCACCAGAGACGCCGCCATTAGGTGTACAGTTCCGTGGTTTCCAGTAGCCTCAGAGATATGTTCAACCACACAAGTTTAGAGCATGTTTGTCACTATAAAGAGAAACTCAAGGCCCAGCCTGCTGGACATTGGGGACCCAAGAAGACCTTGGGTCCGGCCGGTGCTCCCTGGCCTGGGCCGCGTAGTGTCGGCTCGTAGCAGCCACGTGGTCCCACCCCAGCCACGCCAGGGAGGCCCCTGCCCCGCAAGGAGCTCCCGTGTCCTCACCACCCCGGCCCGGCCCGGCCCGCCTGCCTGCGCAGGCCACCCAGCAAGTCCCTGTCCTGTTTCTGTTCGACCCCATCCCCCCGCGTACCCTCCTTTCCGCTCTGACGCTTTAATTTGGTGCCAAGAGTGAACCTGGGAAAACGCAGGCCCCAACTCTCAGATCCTGACAAGGGCACAGCCCAGCACCAGGCCTCCCCACTTCTGCCTGGGCCCAGGGGAATGCCCCCCACCCCCCATGCAACTGACCCCTCTGCCTTGGGGGCCACTGAGGTCACTAAACTGGCCGCCCCCCCCCCACGCCTTCCGATGGAACCCCGATAACGCTCGTGCCCACGCTGTCCCTGGGCCCCGGGCTCTTGCGTCCTGCAAGGCTCGGAGGGCCGGCCCCCTGCGGCCCTGAGATGCCCTCAGCACGCCTGGAGACGGCACCGATACTCAGCCAGAGAAGAGCAAGACCAAGTGGGGGCATCAGCCTGGGCCGCACCTGGTGTGAAGGGGCCCTGGACAGGCCAGACGGGGCGACGCCCCAGCCCGGCAGTGCAGGCCACAGAGCTGCGCGGGCCCTCACCCTGCCCGCCTCTGCCCACGCGCGGAGCTGCGGAGACCCAGCCGTCCCAGCAGAGGGCGAGGGGACAGAGGCCAGAGGCAGGCAGAGGGTGTGAAGCACTTTAACAGCCACCCCAAAACGGGCAGCGGGAGTGTACATGTGAGGCCACCCCTGGAGGGGTTGAGCCAGCACCCTGGTTCACGCGGAGCACTTTCCCCACCCAGATGAGCTGGGCCCCGGGAGCCAGGCCCCCGCGGCCCGCCGTCTGCAGCTCAGGACGGAAGAGCCCACAAGTGGGCTGGCGCGCCAGCAGTCTCGTGTGCGTCCCCAGAGCTGCCACTCAGCCCCAGGGGCCTGGTGGCAAGAGCGCGCCCTCAGAGCAGCGAGGCCTTCCTCTCCAGTGGCAGCAGGGACTCCTTCACGGCCAGCAGCAGCCCCAGGGGGTGCAGGCACCGGGGGGCCCAGAGTCGGGACAGGGCGAGGAGGGCAGCAGCAGCCACGCCTGCACTCAACACCACTGTGGGGGACAAGAGGTGGGAGTGGGTGAGGGGCGGCAGGAGCCCCCACACCCCCAAGCACCTAACACCGGGATGAGGGGTCCTCACCCGCCCTTTTCCGAGAGCCGAGCGGGAGCCGCGTCTCACCTGCCGCTGCAATGACCCCATAGGCACTTCGATTTCCAGACTGGCTTGAGTCCTGGTCCCCAGTGGAGGTGGCTGTGGCATTCCTAAGGTAGGTGACACTCTCCAGGGTCCCAGGGGTCACCACAGATGTGGCATTCTCTCCTGCAATAAGCCCAGGCATTCAGTAGCTAGGGAAGGAGCCAACAGGTATACCAGGGGCCCTGGGAACCATGGGGCTCACCCTCTACTCCAGACTGAAGCTGCTGGGCACTGGTGCCCTAGTGACACCAGTGGGAGGCAAGTGGGGCACACGTGTCCACGCCCCAGCCTGATCACACACAGGGTGGTGCCCGTGGCCTTGCCCGGCCTAATGACCAGTCCCCACCACCCCCGGCATGCGCAAGTCCCAGGCGCCCACCACAGCCAAGTTCATCACTGGAGTCCGGACAGTCCGGGTGGCCATCGCAGAGCCACGTGTGTGGGATGCAGGCCCTGCCCAGCTTGCAGCGCCGCTCCCCTGCTGGACAGGATCGTTGGGTGCAGTTGCCAAAGTCCTTGTTGATGCCTTCAGGGCAGTCATTGCCATCACAAGGGCAGGGGCTGGCAGACGGTGGTGGGCACTGCCCGTCCTGGGCACACGGCTCAACCCCTAGGGCACAACGCAGCCCAGCTCCCAAAGGGCTCTGGCGCTCCCACCGTCCAGGCGCCTGCAAGCCGCCCCCCAAAACC